TAACACCAAAAGAAGGTGCTCAAGTTGAATTGAATGCAGCTACTGGTGAAGCTAAATTATCAATTCCGAAAGTTGATTTACAACAACATGCAGGAACAGTAACATGTCGTCTTGAAAATCCACATGGAACTCAAGAAGAAACTGTTCGACTTGATATTCTTGCTGCTCCACTTATCACAACACAATTACCAAAACAAGAAGAAACAGTTAGTGGAAAAGACGTTACATTACGAGTTGTTGTACGTGGTTCTCCACGACCAGAAGCACAATGGTTCTTTAACGATACGCCAATAGCACCAGAGAATACTTCATATGATGAAGAAAAGAGTGAATATCAACTATTGTTGAAAGAAACGTCTGTTACTGCTAATGAAGGAACATATCGAGTAGTATTGAAGAATGAACTTGGAGAAACGGAATCAACACCATGTGTATTGACCGTATTGGAACCAGTTAAATTAACAAAGATTTCTCCAACATCAGAAGTAATTGATTTGAAAGTTGGTGAACCATTTGAGATCTGCGCTGATGTTGATGGAAAAGAAGCGCCTAAAGTACAATTATTAAAAGATGGTAAAGAAGTTAAATTTACAAGCATTGAAGGTCCACGACATGTGTATTCGGTAACTGAGGTGAAACCTGAACATCAAGGTGTATACAAATTGACGGCAAAGAACAAGACATCAACAGAAGAAGCAAGCTTGACACTCAATGTCACTGGTCAGTTGAATTTCTTCTTTCTTAATTCGTTGAATCTGATGCTTTGGAGTACTAGATGCGGGTTGACAGATGAATCTGAATTCATTTAGAGTTATGTACTGCATTTGATTCTACGAGTAGAATGATAAATGGCATAGAGAAGAATTTTGCATTAGTGCTTGGAGAGTATGTATTCATGTCGAAAATGTGATTGTTCTTCATGGAATAAACCGTTACGTCAACAGAAAAACTTTGAAAGGTGCCCCCGTTATGTGTCAATTTAAAAGGCGAAGTCAACTCATTTGTTTCCGTCGATATAAAGGATATACTATCAGGAACAGTTTTCTTAGTACGCTCTACTCCTTACTTGTAAGTTTAGGCTGAGTTGAACATTCGGATAATGGTTTCGGATGAATGATAGAGGTACATCGCATTGACTTCTACTTGGAAACGTAGTCGACGGTGGAAGAATGCTTGGATAGACTGCAAGATTTGTTTGTCGCTGTATCTGATCGATAGATTTACTGAGTGCATCAAAGTGCGGATACAATCGTCCATTTTCTTGTTGCATCGGATTTTGGGGAAAATAGCAACATTTTCAGTATACGATAAACGTAGCAAACTTGAGGAAACATTGAATTTATTATGATTGAATATTGAAACAGATATCTTTAAATTGTACTTGATTATTACAACTGACCATGAATTGTACGGGAAAACTCCTATCAGTTTAACTAAACGCTCTGGAAAGTGTAGTTCCATAGCCGATAAACGTGTTGTGTGCTTCTCATCTATTGCAACTATCTTCGATTTCTAAAATGCAATTTGCCTATCTTCATCTTCGAGTTTTTTATCAAAGATATTTCACAGGTGAAAATGATGCATAAGAAATTCATTTGTACGAAAAAAGTACTTTGTCAAGTAATTATTATGTTTCTAGCACCTTTGAGCGTACCACAACCATTAACGGATATTAACGTACTTCTTGGTCAACCTGGTACTTTCAATCTGACATGTGATGCATTTCCTACACCAAAAGTTACATGGTCAGTAAACTAATTTCCAATTGAAAAATAATTATTTCTTTTCATCTCAATATAATTAGGTTCTTCAATGATACTGAATTGAAAAACTCTCCAAAACACAAAATTGAAACAAAACAAAATGTATTTTCTCTAACTGTTAACAAATGTGATCATCCTGATGTTGGTATTTATCGTGCATATATCGACAATGGTATTGATCACACTGAACAAACTGCTAAGCTTCACGTTGGAGGTACGTTTTCTCTCTTTTCAAACTTTCAATACGTTTTCTTTCTTTTTCAGTCAAACCGAAAGTTGAAGCCGCAAAACCAGCTAATGATCAGACATGCATTATTGGTCAAGATACTCAAATCTCATGGAAATTTAGTGGTATTGAAAAACCTCAAGTTACTTGGCTCTTCAATGGACAACCATTACCGACTAATGAACGCTTT